CCCCCCCCCACAACAAAACCAACCAAATGGAGATTAGAAACCAAGTCCCTTGACCCCTTAGTAAGAATCTTCTTCTCTCTGCAACAGGGAGCAACAATAGTCCCATCGCTTCCTGTCCATGAACCAAACAACCAGTTGACATATTCTGAGAAAGCATGTAAATAACTACAAAGAAGATCAACCTATTATTTGTGTTCATGCACAGGATTATAGTAGACACTAAATTCCATAGAAATCCTCAACTAAGGTTGAGAATTGCAATATATCTAATGCTCATTTCAGCAGAAAACAAAAGCTTGAAATTTAAGATCAGCTTGAATGATCAACTAACTGATGAGTTTGGAGACACGAACAATTTGCAGTACGAGTGCGCCAGAAAGGTCTAGGACTAAAGGAAAAAGTTACTTGCCTTCTCTTGCTCAGGGGTGTAATTCTGTTTTCCCTTCCTCTCCCACCTCAAATATGCTTGGATCTGCACAAGCTCCTCAGGAACTGAAACATCAGGGCCTCGTGTCTCTTTTCTTGACAATTTGACACGAAAATTACCACCATTATTCTTTATCCTGAAGAAGAAAGAGAATGAAATGCATACAGCTCTTTAATCAAAATGCTATGTTCTTTCACAAACATACTCATTTACCATTTATCTTGGGCTTCATCGTATATGAGAAACTCTATAGCTTCTATAGCAGCATCCCGTATCTCCAGTCTCAGGATGGAGTTAGAGCCAGCCTAAATCAACAATAAAGTCATCAATTTTTCATCATAACTTAATCCATCAAATAGAGCTGGGAGACCATTTCCAACTTACTTTAACAAAAGGAGTTCTAAGTGCTTTGTTCTTGTACACTTTGGTTCCATCTGGACGATCGTTTGGAAGAGACCATGTTCTAAGATAATCATATAGAGAATAGTACAAGGACGATTAGTTGTCACAAGCTTAAGATTTCTCAACATGACGAAGATCCAATTTGCAACTGAACTTACTCTTTCCCGAACTTTACTGCCCCCCAGTGCAAAAACATTTTGTCACTGCCATTTGTAACTTGGAAATCCACAAAGGACACGTCACCTGAAGTGGGAGGCCTAACATCAACCTGTTAAAGTGCAGAAACAAATTTGCATAACCATAATGAGACATATAGGCTCCGTTTTACAAGCAAGTCAGAATATAAATTCATTTTGCCAGAGTAATATCACACTTGTGTACCTGTAGCTCAATATTCCCTTCTAGGCTGAACTTTTCTGCAAGCTGTTCAAAAGAAAAAACATTTAAAATAGGGAATATTACAAAGATATTTGCATAGGTAACTAAATACCATGGATGTTGAGATCTAATTCTTATGCTCTTTATATTTAGCAATAAATGACACTTATCTTTTCTTTTCCCCTCATTATACATTCCCACAATACACAAACTGCCCAGTGTTTGTTTCCCATCTCGAACTCTAGTTTTATTGGCTATCTATGGTAGCACTGAGAGAAAAAATTAGGCATCTATTCTCTATCATGATTTGCTTTTAGAAGAATTCTATTGTCATAGCAACTGACCTTCAAGGAGAGTCCCACTCCATCAACAAATATGATGCAGGAATAAAATCTAAAATTTGAGGATAAAAGAACCAAGAAAAAAGACAAGTAAGTTCAAGTGATCTCATAGGCATTATCGGCATTTACACATAGTTCCTCAGATACCAGTGTTTGCATTGTAGCGACAACTATGAGAAAGAGGTAAGATGTCAATTTCTAGGCACCAAGCAGAATAAATCAGAAAAAGGAAGCGAACCACCAATATTTTTCGCGGTAAATGAATGAACAAAACATCCAAGCAATGGGCTAACAGTACAATAATAAGAGAGAAAATATATTCCAATTGATGACCAAATTGAGTTGGTAACTACTGTAGAAAAATCAGATGTTGACATGTTGTCAAACAGGTAAGTGTGTAGGTTCAGCATTTACCTCAGAAGAAGCATCAGTGGTTAGTACAGCCTGAGGAGAACTAGAAATAGGACGCTGCTTTCCCATAGGTATTTTACTTTTCTGCACCTTTAACCTGTTACCTCGAAATTCAGTTGATAAAGGCGATTGGGAGATCACTTGCTGTTGAAACAAAGAGTTGCCTCCAACACAAGCAGAACTGATTCTACTTTTATGTTCCAACACTGTTGAGGTAAGGAATCCCTGGTGCAGCAAGTTATTCCCTATGGAATTACTCATATTCTCCCTCTATACCCAAATTCGCTGCTAATATAACACAAAAATAATCAATACAGACACCTCGTATAAACAAAAGCAATGGACTGTTTGCGAATAATCAATGTAACTTGTGGTGTGTGGGTGGGTGGGTGTGTTTCGCTGTATACCTATTCAGAAAATTTCAGTTCACAGAAGAACACTTAAATAGAATAAAATGCAACGAACAACTCAAAGGTTATAAAAAGGAATCAATCATAACCGGAATACTTTCGAGACAATAAAGTGCATACAATAATATACTTGTATGAACTCGTGTATGTATTAATCAAATGAAATGTCGGTGGTTAAAGTTCATCGAGCACTTTTTGTACATTCAGAGCAGCTTTCTCTTTCTCTCTCTCTCTCTTTCTTTTTCTTTTTTTATTTTTAAATAAAATATCAGAGCAGCGTTCGAGTTATGTTCAGAGCGATCCTCCGAAACTTGTCATAATTACGCTTGAATTCAAAGGTTAAACGCGATGGAATTTGAAAATTCGAGTTTGATAATATACATGAAAGCATGAAAACAGTGAAATTAACAACAAATTTTGCTAAAATTCAATTGAAATAACTAGGATTGAACCACAACATCAATCCGAACATTAAATAACCGATTTTCAGATCGAAACAGGTTCGGGTTCGATCAATCAGCTTGAAATATGTCAATGAAATGAAACATAAATGTTGCAAAATTTACACAAATTTACCTCGAAATCAGCAAGACAACGCGTCGGTGAATCGGTTTCAAGTGAAAAAACGAGAAAATCAAAGAAGAAGCTTCAAGAAAGTCGAGGAAGTTGAATTAACGAAGCTACGAAGAGTGAAGATTTTGGAGTAAGAGAGTATGGCCGTATGGGATTGGAGAGTGGAAAGTGGAAGCAGAAGACGTAATTGAAAAGCATTTTTTTTTTAATAATATAAAAGAAGAGTGAGGTGGCGAGCTTTTAGTAGGGTGTGGTCATGGATTGAGTATGGAATTGCGGGAGATGTCACGTGGGAAAGTTTGAGATGGCCCCGGCGTGGGACCCGTGAAGTGGCTACTACGTTGATTTGATTGGATATTTTTGCAAATTGAATATCTAATCTTGGAGTTTTGTGGGAATTTGCTTATAACCTCTTCTTTTTGTTTGATATTTTCTTTGAGGATCTTTTTAGCTTGATATTTTTTTGTAACAGTTAACTAGATCTGAGCACCTTTTTTTTCCCTTCAGAAAAAGAAAAAAGAAAGTCTCTATTATTAGCACTCTGGCTAACTCATCACTACTCTCAACTGTTTGTTAATATGAGCGACAATGTTTCCCATCACATTCATGTTCATTCTTTTTTCTCAAAAAATTTTTTTGGTACGAATGACATGAGTTCGCTCAGAAAAATTATCTATTTAACACCATATTAATTTGAGAAAACAATATAATCTTAATATGAAATGATATAAAGGAAATACTTCAGTAAAATTTGCTTCATAACACTTGAGGCTTGCGCCAGTTTCTCCCGTTGAATTTTACATTTCTTTTTTCAAAATTGAAAATTATTCTCAAGCAACATAACTAGTGAAAATTATAGTGCTAAGTCATTGTTGGTGATTGTAGATCAAGAGGTAATTAACCTATTAAATTCTGAAAGTCAAATTTATTTTTATATTTTTGACTGTAGGTCATTATTGCATCAGTTGAGACTTGAGAGATATGTTGATTCAGCATAACTTTCGGGAATATAATCAAGTAGCGGCCTATTAGCTAAAGATAGTGATCGGATCAGGGGCAGATCTACCTTGAGAGTTCAGGGTGGTACGACACTCGCCCGCTTCGGCTAAACTTTTTGATAGGTTATATGTGTATCCCTGTTATGTTTTGATGATCTAATAAACTTACTGTTAAGAACTAGATAAGGAACCCGTTACACATCCTCACGAATTTAAGATCAACAAGTGTCCAATTAACACACAATTCAACTCTTCAGAGTCAAAGGAACAACAGAAGGAGCAGCTGAGGGAACATGTTCGTACCAGTTCCCCATGTGGCTGTACAAGTCAATGATAACTAGGGATTCTAGCCTATTTTATGCTTCTTTTTGCTTAGGTTTTGGACTAAAAGTATGTGCAAGTATTCCCAAAAGCTAACTTATTGTGCTTGTTTGCAGTGTTTGATCAAAAAGAGACAAGAAAGTCATAACCAGCTCATAAAGGAGTGAAACCTGTACAAGTTCAAAGCTGAGTCAAAAGGGCGCTGACAGTGAAGAAATAGAAGCGGACGTGGAGGGTTCACCGCTGAGGCGGTCTTAAGTACGTTCTCAGTAGTAGCAAGGTTCAGAAAGTCATTTTTTGGGCTTAACAGTCACCACTGCACACGGTGAAATTGCGCGGCAGCGGTATCATTTGACGCGGCCGCGGTCTAATTCTCGCCCTCAGTGGAATTAAGAATCAGATAACTATAGTTTAGAGCTCAAATAGAAAGGCGCGGTCCGCGATCATATTTCGCGGCCGCGGTTAAAGGAGCACTGAGGCGGGTGATTTTTCGCTCCCAGCTGACTCAAATTCAGATTCCAGCTCAGAAGAGAAGAATCGCGGTCCGCGCTTGGTTTTGCGCGGCCGCGGAAGTCTTAGCGCAGAGGCGACCTGTTTTTCGCTGTTAGCGGAATCTCCGTAGGGGCAATTTTGTCTGAAAAATTTAGCTGTGTATAAATAGTTCTTTTTCAGATTTTTAGGGAATTTGTTGTTTTGTGGAGCATGTGAACAACCACTTTTTACTTTTTAGAGTAATTTTAGAATATCTTTAGCAATTAATCTTAGATTTTACTCTTGTAATTACTTTTTATGGCTTATATTTCATCTCCATCTTTGATTTCTTCTTTGATTATGAGTAGCTAAACCCATTAGCTAGGGTTGACCCAACCCTAGTGTGGGTATTTAATGGGTCTTCAATTTTAGGGCTTAAATGTTTATAGGTTAATGATATTTAGCTTGATTCATGCTTTAATTGTTGAATTGGTGGTTGCAAACACTGATTTGTGCCTTTTTTACTTAGGCTCTTCTTGAGAAAGAGAGACTAAGTCTAGGAAATTTAGGCTAACAAGGAATTGGGGTGCATTCAAGAGATTGATAGCCCTCGTTAAAGGGTTAAACCTAGAGATAGTAATATCCGACTTGAGCCAATTTCACTTGCATTGTTTAAATATCCAATTGGGCTTGAGAAAGCCAATTAGGGCAAAGTCACTCAAACTACTGAGAGGTATAAAGTGAGCAATTATGTGCAATGATTATATCATGATCCCAATTACAACAAGATTGCCCTTAGTTTTAGACCCCGTTAGATACTCACCTAGGTGTAAGTCACTTCCCTAGTGCCTTTTTACCAATTGAGAAAACCCTTACAAAAATATCATACTTAGCTTATTTTCATTCTTCATTAGTGTAAAATAGAATAGTAAACAAAACAAAGCATGATTGGAAGTGCAATTAAGAACATCGCACATAGCTAGATTAGATAGAAACCCAATTCCAAACCAATATTAGCTCTCTGTGGAAATCGATCCCGACCCCTCGGGTAAAAGCTGCATTGACCACTCTTATCATTCTACAATGGTATAGGGTTGGAGCCGATCACTTTTTGGTGTCGTTGCCGGGGAGCTAAACAGTTTTGGCTATCTATCTAACTAGTTTTATGTCTTGTTTCTCTTTCCTTCTGTTTTACTAACTTATGTGAGTCAATTGATTCAGGTACAAAATGGTAAA